CACAGTGGGGAAGAACACCAAATAGGTTCTTAGGGTCCCCAGTTCCAGGCTTTGGCTCTTGAATGACATCTCTGGACCTAACATGGGCGAGTAGAAGAGTCCACTGCCCTGAAGGGTGAGTCCCAGGCCTGAAAGCATTCACCACAAGTTGACAGAAGAGCCCTTGGGCCTTAAGTGAACATCAATAGTACCCTGGTAGTACTCCCTGTGGGCCTGTGGTGGGCATGGGGAGAGACTCCTTTGCCTGGGAAAAGGGGAGGGAAGAGTGGAAAGCACTTTGCCTAGTGCTATTGGAGCCAGCTCAGCTGCAGTAGAATAGGGCACCAGGTAGATTTCTAAGGTTTCCTACTCTAGGCCCTGGCTCCCAGAAAGCATCTCTAGACCTCCCTAGGACCAGGGGAACTTATTGCCCTTAAAGGAAGGACACAAGCCTGGGTGGCTTTATCACCTGCTGACTGCAGAGCCCTAGGGCCTTGCGAGAGCACAGGCAGTGACCAGGCAGTGGTTACAGTGGGCCTTGGGCAAGACCCAGTGCTGTGCTGGCTTAAGGTTTGACCCTGTGCAGTCACAGTGGTGGTGGCCACAGGGGTGTTCTGTGTCACCCCTCCCCCAGCTTCAGGTGGCTCAGCACAGAGAGAGAGACTCCATTTGTTTAAGAGAAAGTAAAGGAAGAGAACAAGAGTCTCTGTCTGGTAATCCGGAGTATTCTTCCGGATCTTTTCCAAGACCACCACAGTGGTACCTCTACAAGTCTGCAAGAACCAAAATGAAGAATGGCTTCAACTTTATGCTAATGCATTTGAAAATGTAAAGAAAATGTATATATTCATACAAAAATTATGAACCACCAAATATAACCAATAGTTATATAACAATTTAAAATACAAACTGCAATTAAAAATCTTCCACAAAAACTTCAGGTTCCAAAATGGCAGTGAAAAAGCAAGCTGGGTTCATTTCGCCTTCCCACCCACAAAAAACTAAATACACAGCTCCCAGATTATCACCAGCAATATCCCAGAACTCAAAAAGGAGAAAGAGACAGTTCCCAAAGCCATAAAGAAGTGGAAACACAGAGTAGATGGTAAGAGAATCAGATTTCTCTATCTATGATACACCATCCCTCAATCTACCCAGCTACAAGTGTATAGAAAATTTCCCTCAACTCACAGTTTCTACATAGGAAACAGTTATATTGAGGTGGACAACCAACTTCTCTACCATCTTGGGTTCCCTGGCAGGAGATTGTTCCTACCTCAACTCATGGAAGGTATCAGGAGTACTTAAAGGAAGAAATATCCCTGAAGACAGCCAGAAAGAAAGTGGGGAGGTGGGACGATCGTCCTCAGCCATGGAAATTTTGATTTGTAACTCAACCAAAGGACACCTCAAATTAGCATGGCAGTTCAGTAGCACCACACTGTAGATTTGTTTCACAGGTCCCCTGGCCATGAACCCCGAGCTAGCCTTGCCACACTACTGGGTTATCCCTTTCTCTTTGGGACCTCCTCCATTCAGGATGGGTGGCAGTCTGATTTTTAACTAGAACTGATGGAAACCTGGGCTTAAAGTGCCATCTAGTGCCAAAAAGGAGGCAGCTACCTAGCAGGAGAAAAACAACAACAACAAAGAAAATCAACAGGTAAATTACAAAGAATCCGTAAGCAAATATCCCAATAAAAAACAAGCCAGAGGGAGAATGGAACAAATTAACTTCAATTGTCCTACAACTGAACTGTCCTTCAATGAAAGACATAAACACACATCACAAGAAACATCAGCAAACGTGGAACCATGGTCTTCTCAAATTGGCAAAGTGAGCAACCAGTGACTGACACTAATAAGACAGTAATATGTGAGCTCTAAGACCAGAAATTCAAAATAGCAGTTTCAAAGAGACTCAGTGATCTTTAAGATAACATAAAAAAGCAATTCAGAAATTCATCAGATAAATTTAACAAAATGATTGAAATAATTTAAAAAATCAAAGAGCCATCTTAGAAGTGACAAACACATTTGCTATTGAAAAGGTAGCAAATAAACAGAAAAATTCACTGGAGGCCCTCAAGAGCAGAATGGATCAAGCAGAGAAAATAATCAATAAGCTCAAAGACAAGCTACTTGATAATACATAATCAGAGGAGAAAAAAGAAAAAAAAGAAAAGAAAACTAGCAAAGACTATCTACAAGATACAGAAAATAACCTGAAAAGAAAAAACAAATCTAAGAATTATTGGTGTTCAAGAATGAGTTGAGCAAAAATAGGGGCAGAAAGCTTATTCAAAAAGAAGAAAAGAAAGAAAGAAAAGGAAAGAAAGAGAAAAGAAAGAAAAGAAAGAAAAGAAAAAAGAAAGAAAGAAAGAAGGGAAGGAGGGAGGGAGGAAGGGAGGGAGGGAGGGAGGGAGGGCGGGAGGGAGGGAGGGAAGGACGGAAGAAAACTTGCCAAAACTTGAGAAAGAGATAACTATCCAGGTACAGGAAGGTGAGAGACCATCAAATAGATTTGACTCAAATAAGACTACCCCTAGGCATATAATAAACTGATCAAAAGTTAAGAACAAAAAGAGGAGCCTAAAAGCAGTAAAGGAAAAGAAGCAAATACAGAACTCCAATTCATCTGGCAACAGAATTCCCTATAGAAACTATACAAGGCAAGTGGGAGTGAGATGACATTTTCAAAATTGCTGAAATTTGAAACTGCCATTTGAGAATACTGTATCCAGCAAGCTCATCCTTTAACTATGAAGGAAAGATAAAAGTCTTTCCCAGATAAACAAAACCTGAGAGAATTCACCACAAACAGACCCATCTTACAAGAAATGTGAAAGGGAGTTCTTCAATCTGAAAGAAAATAAAACCAATCAATCTGTGCAAAAAGAAAACATCTGAATACATAAATCACACTGGTAAAATTAAGTACATGGATAAACCCAAAATACTCTAATGTTGTACCTGGGGTGTGCAATCTATTCATAACTCTAGTATATGAAGTCCAAAAGAAAAATCTGTCAAAAATAGTAATAGTTATAGTCACTTAGGAGATAGGCAATATAAAAATATGTAAATTGAGACAAACAATAGTCAAAATCTTGGGGAATGGAATTAAAGTATAGAGCTTTTTTTCTAGATTTTCTTTGAGTTTGTTTTTTGTGATCGAAGGCAAGCTATCATCTTTCAAAAATAATGTGTTTTTTCTATAAGGTGTTTTTCATAAGCTTCATGGCAACTATAATGCAAAAACCTATCATAGATATACTAAAAATAAACAGCAGAAGAGTAAGCAATAGTTTGGATCACCATGACGGACAGGAGGCAGGACTAATTGCAGCTTCAGCTCAGATGGATAGAGCAGCATGCAGAGTCTTGCACTGTGAATTTTAGCTCCAGATCAACTGCAGGAACAAACCAGCAATCCTAAGAGGACCCACAGACTCTCTGAAGAAGGCAGGCTGCTCCTGCAGGACCCAGGAGGCACCCCAAATACTATGAGTACCCAAACTGGGAAAATGGGAAAGGGAGATCCTCCTCTCCCAAACACACAACCCCACTGGAGAAACTGAAGGTCTGTTTGCAGGAGAAGTTTCTAACCTTACCTGGAGCTGAGTCCATTTAGAGAACCGAGCAAAATACACGGGTAGAGGAAGCAGTGGGAAAGGCCCTGGGAACTCACTGGGTCCCCAGGCAGGCCATTCTTGCCTGGCACCACAGGGATCCATCAGGAAGGAGGCCAGGGGAATGGGGGAAAACACCACAGGGAGAAGGAAATCTCCAGCTGAACTTTGTAACAATTTGAACTGGTGGCATGAACCCTCTTGGCCAGAACTCAGGCGGAGAGCACAAATCCAGTGTGCAGACTCCACAGGCAAGGGAAGAACCAAGCACTTTTCTTTCACAGTTGGGCGGCAGGTAGCCTGGGGAAAGTTCTCAAGCCCAGCTCGCCTACCACGTGGAAACAGACTATTAGGGGGGTACAATGGGAGTGAGACTTTGGTTTGCATGGGAGCTGGGTGAGGCCTGTGACTGTCAGCTTTCCCCAACTTCTCTGACGACCTGCATGACTCAGCAGAGGCAGCCATAATCCTCCTAGTTACACAACTCCACTGACCTGGGAACCTCACCTGCATCCCCCACAGCAACTGCACAATACATGCCTAAGGAGAATCTGAGCTCAGACATGCCTAGCCATACCCTAACCTGATAGTCCTTCCCTACCCACCCTGGTAGCTGAAGACAAAGAGCATATAATCTTGGGAATTCGAGGGCCTAACCCACCACCGGTTCCTCTCCATACTACCACGTTCTCTGCAAAGTGCCACCTCCTGGCAGGAGGCCAACCAGCACAAAAATAGAGCATTAAAGTACTAAAGCTAAAAACCCTCAACAGAGTCCATTTCACCACTCCCTCCCCACCGCCACCTTCACCAGAACAGGTGCTGGTATCTACAGCTGAGAGACCCACAGATGGTTCACATCACAGGACTCTCTGCAGACAACCCCCAGTACCAGCCCAAAGCTGAGTAGACCTGCTGGGTGGCTAGACCCAGAAGAGAGATAACAATCATTGCAGTTCAGCTCACAGGAAGCCACATTCATAGGAAAAGGGGGAGAGTATACATCAAAGGAACACCCTGGGGGACAAGAGAATGGGAACAACAGCCTTTAGCCCTAGACCTTCCTTCTGACAGAGCCTACCGAAATGAGAAGGAACCAGAAAACTAACTCTGATAACAGGACAAAACAAGGCTCTTTAACAACCTTCCCCATAAAAAAATCACACCAGTTCACCGGCAATGGATCCAAACCAGGAAAAAATCCCTGATTTACCTGAAAAAGAATTCAGGAGGTTAGTTATTAAATTAATTAGGGAGGCACCAGAGAAAGGCGAAGCCCAATGCAAAAACATCTGAAAAGCGATACAGGAAGTGAAGGGAGAAACATGCAAGGAAACAGATAACACAAAGAAAAAACAAACGTTCAGGAAACACTGGGCACGCGAAAGTCTCAGCAATATAACTGAACAAGTAACAGAAAGAAATTCAGAGCTCAAAAACAAGGTCTTCAAGTTAACCCAATCCAACAAAAACAAAGAAAGTCCTCATTCAAAAAGCAAAGAAGGCAAAAACTCCAGGAACATCTGTTGAGAAGAAAAATACTTTTTGCACACAAGCAGGAAAATGAGATGTTATCCAGGAAATACGTAAGAATAAAGGCCATGATGTATACAGTTTGTCTTCAAATGTCTCAGTAGAGGTCAGAGAGCTGTGACATCTGAGGACCAAGTTCAAGAAGGGACTAAAGTGCTGAAACTTAAAACCAAAATGGCTGATAAAGAAAGTGTGAAGAGACCTGCAGGAAGCAAAAATAATACAACAGTGGGGAGAAATTGTATTCCTTTAAAACCTTTAAATGGACTAACCAATTCAACTGTAGTAATTGACGCACACAAACCAAAGGACAGTGATCAAACTCAGCAATTGTTACTAACTGAAGATGATCCCCAAAGTCAACATATGACATTAAGCCAGGCATTTCACCTTAAAAACAATAGTAGAAAGAGGTAACTACAGAAAAACCAAAGCAAGGTGCTAACATGCCCAAGAAACCTTTGCTTGGATCTTATCGTGGCCAGATCGTTCAGTCTAAGATTAATTCACTTAGAAAACCTCTACAAGTCAAAGATGAGAGTTCTGCAGCAACAAAGAAACTTTCAACCACTGTCCCCAAAGCCACAAAGCCTCAGCCTGTAAACACCAGCAGTGTAACAGTGAAAAGTAATAGATCCTCCAGTACCACTGCCACCACGAAATCTGTGAGCACTACATCTCAGAAACCACAACTTGTGCGACCTCCTATTAGAAGTCATCACAGTAACACCCAGGACACTGTGAAACAAGGCATCAGTAGAACCTCTGCCCACGTTACAATCTGGAAAGTGTCTTGTGAAAAAGAACTGTTAGAATCAAAAACAGCTTTATCTAGTGTCAAAACCAGTTCTTGTCAACATATAAGAAGAAGTAAGACACTGTCAAGAAGCATAGCATCTGAAGTTGTGGCCAGGCCTGCTTCATCGTCCAATGACAAACTGATGGAAAAGTCAAAGCCCACTGACCAGTGAAGACATACTATAGGAAAAGCAACTGCTGATAGATCAGCTCATCCCAAAGAAACCGCAGAAGACAGAAAAGCTCGTCTGAGTGAGAGGAAAGCTGACAAATGAAGAGTGCTAAAAAGGCTTCCTAACTCAGTAGTGACTCAGCATGAGCATGAAGGACAAAATGAAAAACCAGTTGAGTCTTTTGGGACTGCCACGGCAGAAGAAGATGAACAAAGATTATTTACTGAAAAACTAAACAACACATTTTCTAAATGCCTGAACTTGATTAATGAGGGATGTCGAAAAGAAGATACACTGGTCACACTGAATGACCTGATTAAAAAATTCCAGATGCCAAAAAAGCTTGTTAAGTATTGGATAAGTCTTGCATGTATGGAACCAATCACAAGTCCTATTGAAAATATTATTGCAATCTATGAGAAAGCCATTCTGGCAGGGGCTCAGCCTATTGAAGAGATACGACACACAACTGTAGATATTCTAACAATGAAGAGTCAAGAAAAAGTTAATTTGGAAGAAAATATGGAGAAAGCTTGTGTAACCAAGGAAGAAGCCAAAGTAGTCAGTATTGAAGATACAGGTGTTGATGTAGATCCAGAAAAATTGGAAATGGGGAGTAAACATCAGAGAAATGTGCTATTTCAAGACTATCAAAAAGAGCAAGACGGCAAAACAAAATATCCAACCCATGGTGTTAAAACCCCCAATACAGAAATGAGGACAAGTTGCTTCATTAAATATAATGTGTGTCTACTATGCCATACTTGCAAAGTATGAAAAAGAAGGTGCGGTTTGATGAAACAAATTCCGCATTTAAAGAGCAAGTTTTTAACACCAGTGAGACGTTCTCAACGTCTTCAAGAGAAAACTTCTAAATTGCCAGATGTGTTAAAAGATCATTATCCTTGCGTGTCTTCAATGGAACAGCTAATGGAGTTGGGAAGAGAAACTAAAGTTTTGTATGCTGCCCTAATGCAGCACTGTGCCGGATGTACTCGGAGGATTAAACACCAGAAGAGAAACAAAGCTCTGATAGGGAATTGGGTTTTTATTATTTGTGGGGTGTTTTGTTTGGAGTAGCTTTATATTACCCTTAGGTCTGGAGTTGGCCACGTACCTGCGTATCCTAAGTATTCACGGCAGTGAGCTCCTTTACTAACATTCATGTTATGGCAACAGTTGTCGTCTGCATTGGAAAGTTAATCCTACCGTTTCTATCTCAACCAACTGAGTTTTTTCTTTAAGGTGGGTAAATTTTGTCAGCTAGTTTACTATGTTCCTTGAATATAAATAAGTTATAATACTAGCCTGTTCACTTTACTAACTATAAGTACAGTAATGATGCATCATTAGAAAATAAGGTATTCTAGGTAAAATGTGTATGTTTGCATTGACATGTTTTTAAAAGTTATGATATACCTCCCTGCCTTTAAACAGAATAATTTTTTGGCCTTTCTTAGATTAATATGAAAGTCAAAAATTGTATAGAATGACTCACTTTGAATATTAAGACACAGGAGGTTTAGCTTGCTTTCTCACCAAATTCATGTTACCCAGACTTGTGCTCTGTTGTGTCCCTCGGACTGCCTGTTGACTGATGAAAAGTGTCTGCACTGTCACTTTTCATCAGTAGTAGTCTGTGGTCTCGTGGCCTCTTTTGATTATAACTGGGGTTACCAAGAAGGATACTTAATTAAATAACCCCATTTATAAGAGAAGATACTTTGTGTAAGAAAGAAAAGATGACAGATTTAGTGGTTTAACTTCTGTAACTTCACTTGGTAGTTTTTAAGCAATTAGAATGGAGCAGGGAAAGAATATATCATACTGAATAAATGTCATTCTAGTTTAGACAGCATTTCTAAAATACTTGATACTTACTCTTGTTTTCTTCTCTACAATAT